GTTATTAGAGTTTAGTACTGATGTTAAAAGCACAACACTATATTTTTAGGTTTTCCTTTTTATAATGTTTAATCTATTATGTGTTAATTGATATAGATTGTCCGAAATATCTATAACAACACATATTTAACCGTTATGAAAACAGTAGGTGAGAATTTTATGTGAACGCCTGTGATTCAGCCGTAGGTCAGTAGGGGGCGAACACGAGCATCGAAGACTCTATAAATGGATCAACTTCCTGGTTTGCGGGCGGTGTGTGGTTTCCTGTCAGCTCCGGTGACAATAAACCCTCACTCCAGAATTCTGGTTTTGTTTGGTTTTATTCCTTCTAAAAATTATGTTATTTAACAGTGCTAAATGTTAATGTTGATAAATCCAGTGATAAATGTTGAAGTCAGAGCAAAAAATTTAAAATTAATTCTGTAAAAGACGAACTCCAAACAGATATCAAAAGCCTTTATATTAATGTTTTCAGCTATGTTTGAAACTGTATCACTGTCATCTTTTTGAAACTTCTGATTTCAAAATAAATCCCATGTGTATCATGTGTAAGCTTCATGCTACATGTTTCCATCTGTTTCCCAAACAGAACCATACATTCTGACAGCATTTGTGTAGAAATATATCCATTCATTTATTAATATAGCTGGGATTTCGACAAAATTATTCCACCTTATGGTGTTTTATTTTGAAAATACATATGCTGTGTTTGTTCCTTTTCCTGTTGGTGCGACGTGATCTCTGTAGATCGGCTCCAGAGCAGCTTCGGCGTCCGGCAAATAGGATCGGATCTAATTTTGGCGGACTGCCGTCTAGTTTTTGAGTTGTAAGCATTTTTGTTTGTCCAGACACCCCCCTTTTCAGATGGAGCCCCCTCCTCAAATATGGGGTCTATCATAAAACCGTTGGCTGGAGCAGTGCAGGTCGGACTCTTCTACAGTCCTGACAAGTTTCATGTTGATCGGTGCAGCTGCTTCTGTGATACGATTGACCAAAAATCTTGAAAAAATAAATAAACAATACGACAACATTATGATTCACACTTTGCATGCACAGTGGGGGAGGGCGGCGGGGGGGGGGGTCATAACAAATCAGAAGACGTCGTAAACTTGTGGTAAAAACCCTTCATCTGCTTGTATTTCCTGTCATCCTGTCCTGTTTCTGTTATCATTATGTAACATTTCAAATATTCAGTCTAAATCTGATACTTCCACTCTGATTGGCTCCTCCTCTGCTGAGAATCCTTGTCTGGTTGGGCCCAAACAACATGAGTTTAATTAATGCTGCASAGTCGAAGTGGGCGGAGCTTCCTTAAATAACAGCTTCTTCCCACAAGTTATTTTTCTTCTTGAGCAAAACCATGAAGCTCATCTAAGACTGGAAACACGGCCACACTTAGACTGTGAATTTAAAAATAACAAAGACCTCTCCTTTAAACTGTATTAGATAAAAAGAAACACAGAAAATATTAGAATTTAGTAGTTTAAAATCATATAAGAAAAAAAAATTTTAATATAAAAATGCCCATCAGCCCTAACGCTGGCCATGAAATTTTCATTTTGTCTTGTTTTTTCTAACTGTAAACATTTCTAATAAATCTAACGTTTGATTTTTATTCTTTAATCTTGGACACTGAGTCGAGCTGTGGCGTTTCTCTCTGAACGGAGCGCTCCCTCCCTCCTGACGGCTCTCACACTGATCCATCACGGCTCATAAGGAGCGCCGCAGCCAAGATGGCCGACAGACGGGCGGTTCCTCGGGGCGTGTCCGAGCCGGCCCACCCCGGCAGAGTTCACAGACGTGTCWGCAGCTGCAGCTGCTGCTCGTTTCAGGTTAATGTGTTGGTGTCAGAGTTCTCCTTATCCAATTAGAGCGGGACAGATTAGCTGCTGCAGCGCGTTRCTTCTTCCGATGCTACGTTTAGCTTTTAGCTCCTGTTTTGCTTCTTTTGACTTTTAATAACTCAGTTTGAGCTTTGTCCCTCAGGCCCTTGGGGTTAGGGTTAGGGTTAGGTTAATCTCACTGACTGAAGCAGAATAAGAACCTGTGGCGTGTTGCATGTTTCTTACTGTGAAGATCTTGTTGTGGTTTTCGGTGCTGGTGCGTCTCTTGCAGGCGTACTGAGAAACCGTGGCTGCAGGAGGCGCTGCGGGAACTTCTGCCCCGGTMTCCTGTTTGTAAAGACAACCCAAAGCAGGAAGAATCAAACACCACCCGTCGCTCTCGTCTCCATCGTTAACAGTCTGCGTGTGTGGGGGGTTACTCCTGATGAGCTCAGAGTTCAAATTGAATTAGATAAAAATGCAGCCGTTTGCCTGGCAGAAGTTATTTTTATGGCWGCGTGTCTCCAGGGCTACAGGCTAATGACACTCATCTCACAGTCTGGTGGCATCCAAATCCATTACGCTACCTAACCCGTGGCATTACAAATCTGCTTGTCATCATCCAATTTGCCTCCTGTAAATTGGCTTTTTATTCTATGAAGAAACGGCTCCACGTTTGTGATATTTGAGTCAAATGGATTACCATTGTGTTATTAATATTAATATCCCTGCAGACAATAACGGCGTCAGAAAATGAAACAAACTGGTCAAAATTAGGCACGGGTCTGAGCGGAGCGAGACGCTGGGAAGAAAACATTTTATCAGATGTTGAACGATGCTGCTGCAGGAAACAAKGTGTGTTAAAAAGATGATAAAAGAGTTAAAACACCTCTCTGTGCTGAGGGAAACATCTGTTAGAACATCAGAAACATTTCATGTCTGACATTAATGACATGCAAACGTTTGAGTTGGAACGTCTCATAATCTTTATTCAGCCAGTATGTACCTAGTACTGACTGAATACATATACTTAAACTGATTCAGTAAATACCAGACAGGMGTTTGGTAATTATTAAGGACATATCTCAGTATGTTTCAAGTAAGTATTCCAATAAGAACAGGAGCATATCATAATAGTACAAGATATGTTTACTGGTAAACAATAGGTAGGTATACTGGTAAGTACCATGCACTTATCTCAGTATTATGCACATACCCCAGTAAGTACTATGCACATACCCCAGTAAGTACTATGCACATACCCCAGTAAGTAAGTACTATGCACATACCCCAGTATGTACTATGCACATACCCCAGTAAGTACTATGCACATACCCCAGTAAGTACTATGCACATACCCCAGTAAGTAAGTACTATGCACATACCCCAGTATGTACTATGCACATACCCCAGTAAGTACTATGCACATACCCCAGTAAGTATTATGCACATACCCCAGTATTATGCACATACCCCAGTAAGTATGTGCTATGCACATACCCCAGTAAGTACTATGCACATACCCCAGTAAGTACTATGCGCATACCCCAGTAAGTAAGTACTATGCACATACCCCAGTAAGTAAGTACTATGCACATACCCCAG